GAAGCAGGGGTGGGTCAGCTTCCTGCCCCACCTCAAACCGTCGCGGGGGGGGGGGGGGGGGGGTAAGCAGGAAATAAGGAATACAATGTTTACCAGGGCGCCCATCAGGGTAACTAGAAACAATGGCCACAAACTGAAGGAGAGCAAATTTAAATCGGGCATTGGGAAAAGTCTTTACAGTGAGGGTTGCAAAAATATGGAATATACTTCCAAGGGAGAGGGTGCTTTCCCCTACCTTGGAGGTATTTAAGAAGAGATTGGACAAACACCTGGCTGGGGTCATGTGACCCTAGCACTCTTTCCTGCCCAGGGCAGGGGGTTGGAATCAATTATCTAATAGGTCCCTTCTGACCCTAAAATCTATTAAAACTATAAGAGCATATTCTAATCCCCACCTACCTTAACTACAAATATTTCCAGAAAGAAATGACATCTCTGTAAAAATGCTGAGACTGGGATTGTGAAAATACGTTGAAAATAGAAGCAACCTAAATTGTACTGTCATAATCAATTAATCAAAATATGAATTATTGCACTAATACATCTTATTAAAATAATAATTCTTTATGAAATTAGAAAAAGACATTCTCCCAGAGTAGAATAAATATCTCTATCTCCTTCTAAAAGAAGGGAATTAAATGTCCCTTGCAAAGGAAATATTTCAAAATCACTAGATCCCAAAACATTCAACAACTGGGTATGAACAAGAGTGGAAACTAATGCCAACCCCTTCACTAATCCTGAATATTTAATCTCCGAATGCATACCAAAAGTCAAACAAAACTGCAACTTGATTTACTGGATCAGCTATAGAGTACCTTTTCCAAGAATCATATATTATGCTACAGAAGCACACAACTACATAAAGTGAAGGGTAAGATATTTTGAAACACTATTTAAGGATAAAATGTTAGATATTTAGGTTCCAAATTCTATGGGACATATCATCTGATATGTCAGTTCACACCAGCTAAGGACCTAGTTCTGTGTAGTGTCCATTTTAGTTGCTTTTGATTTTCTGCAAAAATTCACTATTTCATTCTCCTTCTGTACTTCCTATATTCTCCCTTCACTCCTTTAGTTCCCTCCCTTCCTCCTCATGACCTATTTTTTTAAGTCAATAAATCTCCCTTCATCTAACTTCACTTTTAGTTCCTTCCTGCTTCCCTATGCTTTTGAAGCCTCCTTCTTGGATTAGCCATTCTTCAGGCAGCAGTTTTTTTGTCTGTTTCTTTGGTTGTTAAGCACCTTGTCAGAATAAAGCAAATAATATTAGCTGGGGAAATGCTGCGTTAGTGACTCTGCTCTTTGTTATAACAGATCATGTCAATTTTTGTAACCATGCTGATCTGAAGACTTCTTGGTCTAGGACAGGAAGAGAAGAGGTGAGGGCGAAATCCCACTTTTAGTCTTCATCCCCAATGATTCAAGACCTATAACTGCAAACTGCAGCACAAAGGCTGCTTCTTCCATGCTTCCCATGGAATAAAAAATCTTCTAACATGCCACTTGTTCAGGGCAGGAGGCACAATTTTGGGATTGGGAATCAGATCCCAATTCTGCCTTTTCTACTTGCCAGTGCAGGGGGAGCTCAGGACCACAATCATGGCTCAGCGAGGTAGCTTCTCACCTGGAGGGGAGAAGGCATAGGTTGCTCCTAGTGAAGCAGAAGCTTACCTATACTGCCCTCCATGCTTCCCCCCACCCTCGCCCCTCAGTGCCTGTACTGATTGACCAGCCTCAAAAAGAGCACTACAAAAGTATCCCCTTGCACCAACAAGATGAAAGTCAAGTGCCTCCAAGTCCAGGGTCAGGGCTAATAATCAGGCAATTGGAAACTCTGGCTAGGGATCACAATGGAGTTTCAAATTGACCAGTGCGGTCCAGGGCTGGGCTTACAATCAACTTCTTTTGTATACTTCATTTCTCCTTCTACACATCAACAATGTAGCAGAGCCACCCTACTGCTTTATCGTTGGGGGACAGGTTACAGACCTTCACATGGCATTCCCTGTTAGTAGCTACATAAGCAAGCCAAATGTGTCAAACTACTTTCAACCTACCTATCTACCATCACAAACTTATTGACAATCATCTGATTGTTGGCTTTGGTTCCAGGCTGTTTCAAGACATTTTCCAGAGGAAATGCCCTGTTGGACCTGGTCCTGGACACAGGCAATGACCTGGTAAGGGGCCTCCAGGTCCTTGACCACCTGGGTGATAGAGATCATCACTTGCTGGAATTCACCATCCAGCACAGGGTGTCAAGGGCCTGCAGCAAGGCAGTAGCCCTAGACTTCAAGAGGGCCAACTTCAGTGAGTTGAGGAGATAAGTGGGAGAGGTGCTGGGGTTCTCGAGAGCAGGGGAACTCAGTGCCCAAAACGAGTGGTCGTTCCTTAAGGAGACAATACTTAGGGCCCAAGGGGTGACCATCCCAACAAAAAGCAAGGGGGGAGAATTGCTTGAAAGCCCCCCTGGCTCACCAAGGGTGTACGGGAATGCCTGATTGTCAAAAAGGCAGCATACAACCAGTGGAAGGGGGGTGCTATCTCCTCTGCTCGGGCCTGTAGGGGGGCTGTCAGGAAAGCTAAGGCAGACGCAGAGCTAGGACTTGCGTCCAAAATCAAAGA